AAACAACAATGACGGCTGCAACCAAAAAATAGCCGGGCGTTGTGGCAGGCACCTGTGGTCCCAGCTACTTGGGAGGCGGAGGCAGGAGATTCGCTTGAGCCCAGGAGTTGGAGGTTGCTGTGAGCTGAGATGCCATGGCACTCTACCCAGGGGGATAGCTTGAGGCTTCTGTCTCAAAAAAAAAAAATAATAATAATAATAATGTAAATGAAATATAGAATAATGTCATGAGTAGAGAGTGGAAACATGAAGCACTAGGACTTGAGGAAGAAGGAAGAGAAGGCCATGATTAGAGGGCAGGAAAATATTTCATGGTCAACCTTAAAATGAAACATACAATGTGATAATATGTGGCTAAATTAAGAAGAGCCAGAGCAGCAGTTTAGGTATAGAAAATGATATTAAGACAAGATATATGTAGGGTCAGGGTCTAATTCCCTTGCATTTTGAAGAAATAATATTTGAGGAGGGACTGATGGAATGGAATCCCTGGCTGACATGCCAGGGGCATCTATTAATTCAGGAAAGGGCAGATGCAGGAAAGGAGGGGGGTGTCTACTCTGAGTCGATGCAGCCCCCTGGGGCACCACACTTGCTGTTGCTGCTGCTGTATCTCTGATGAGCAATGAGAGACGTGCACCCTGTGGACAGAGATGCAGGGGAGATGTACAGGAGAGATGTGTGAGGGTTGCCCAGACTCAGATAAGCCTCAAACCTGATTATTGAAGTGTCGGTACTCTGCATGTTGACTGAAGCCCTAGACATCATCTGTCTTAAATAGCAGCTCACACAGAAGGATAATGAGTTAAAGAATGAGGCAGATGTAGAGACTTCCCTTTAAAACATCACTTTCCAAGGAGGAAGCACCTGTCTGTGTAGAAATACAGGGGCCACCGTTCCATAAGCACAAATTGGCACACACAGATGGGCTAATCACAACAGCCAACCCCAGGGCCCTCCAGTGCTATACCCCCCAATCTCCTGCTTCCGGTGCCAGAGACCTCACTCCACCTCTCTCCCTCCTGCGGAGTCCTGGGCCCTATTGTAACAGTCCTCAATAAACGATTCTTTTCCATTTCTACAAAGCCTCTGGTGCACTTTTTTCTCTAAAATAAAAGACATTGCCTTGTTGTTCTTGTTATGTTTCCTATTTTGTGTTTCTTTGTTTCATTATCTGCTTACTACCTGACCAGAATATAAGAATGAGAAAAGTGCTTGTTCTCTTTTCTTCATTCTGCATTTTTATGTTTGCCGGCAAGACCCTTATGGTCATGGGAGAAGGGTCTTCACTCTAACCTGGCCTGGCACCTTCTCTCCCAGCCTCTCAGTACTGTGAACTCCTAGAGCACAGGGACCCTCCCTACTCTTTGTTCCAACCCTCCAGGATAGGGGGCCCTATGTCCACTTCACAGGTGACCAGGCACCAGGGAGCAACAATCCCCCAGCTAGAGTCAGAGTGGTTGTCAGAGTTGGGGCTCACTGTCTTGGAGGAGGGACCTGGGCAGAAGCACCAAACTGCCCAGCCCCAACCTCAATGGGGGTGACTTTGCCTGAGTCCCCCATTCCTCCTGAGGTAGTGGTTCTCAACCTTCCTAATGCCATGACCCTTTAATACAGTTCCTCATTATAGTGGTACTCATATGTGGACATATCTGCAGATGGGTGGAACCGTCTGGAAACGGATAGAGGAGCCATGTCTTGGTTCCTTAGGGCACCCTTGTGAAAGGGTCATTTGATCCCCAGGTTGAGAACCACTGTGACCTAACGGTACCTATTCCCAGGTCATAACTTCTCTGTTGCTGTCCCTCTGTCCCCAGACCATCTAGAGTATGACTGCCAGAGAAGGCTTAAACCTCAAGCGTGTGGTAGAGGGATGTCCTAAATCGCCTGGAGGTGAAAACCTAACTGATGCATGTAGAATCCAGCTGTAAGGATGGTACAGTGAGCCCTGTGCCCTGAGTTTGCAACCAGCCTGTCACTGCCACCCATCCTTACTCCCAGGGCCTGTGACTAACCATGGCCCATCCTGACTCACCTTCTGCATGTGGACTTCACCGTTCACTGTCAGGAGGGCAGCCATCCACTGAGTATTATGGCCCTGTAGAGATGGCACCACGGGACTTGTGCCTGTATCGCTGGTCACCCAGAATCCGGTCAGCCTGGGGCTCACTCTCCACCAGGTCACCAAAGCCTCCCCAGAAAATGACACCTGCAGGACAGGTCCAACCCTGCAAAACAGGCCTTTCCAAAGGAAGGGAGGCTGTGATCCCCTGGTTCCTCAAATCCTCCCAGCTACAGCATGGAGGAGGTGGCCATTGGGTCACCTTTGCCTAACCCACTAGTGACTTTAGAGGGCCCAGAGTAGGGGAAGAGGGGTCCCTGTACTGCAGGGAGCACAGCACCTGCCACTTGAGCCATAGCTCTATCTCCTGGGGACCTAGTATGCAAGGGGGGCCAGTGGTTTCTGGGTGTCAGGGGAGGGTCCTATAATCATAACCCCACCATGAGTCACCATCATACAGAATTCTGGCCTCAGCTAATGGCTGATGATGTGTACCTGAAACAGTGACTACAGGAACTTGGATCCAAGCACAGCCCTGTGGATCCTTGTCACCCTACAGGTGGCTCAGGCAGAGCATTTCCACAGGCCACACACAGGC